ACACCCCTGCACTAGACTGTGCACAAAAACCCTGGAAGTGCGAAATCAGGCATCAGTCAATCAGCGAAGAGCCATATATTCTGTGTTGGCAACGATTCCCTGGATCGAGGATTTAAAGCCGGACTAAAGAGAATGTTTGGTGAATTTCATCAAGGGGAAAGACGTTATTGTCCTTCTTCCTACGGGATTTGGAAAAAGCTTAATATACCAGTTAGCCCTGTCAGCAGTGCATTGCGTACGTCACGACCAAATAGCAGCAATTAGTTACATGAAAAAGAGTACCCGCCTACCGTCGAGCGAACGAATTCTAACAGTTTTTACGAAGTGAAACCGGCTCATGAATCAGGCTACGATATGATAACATGGCAGACCAAATAAACAGAGGGAACAACATTTGCTGTTTCAGTGCAGACTCCTTGAAGAAATAACTGTTATTAACCACTTAAAAATTAAAATTCTTTACATTATAACAGAACCAAAGGGTTTTTCAAGGCTTCCCCAAGGGTTTTAAAAATGAAAAAATAGCATATTCACAGTTTTATAAGCCTGCATAAAATATTGCAAAAAGTATCGAACCGTGAGATGCATATTGTGAAAATGTCATATCGAGGGATTTTGATATCATTACATCCCTACTTATGAGAATTGAAAAGTTTATTTCTGATGAAAATACTGGAATAACTCACCTGTTAGCAGACCCTCCACCCGAAAAGTTTCATATGGTGCACTTTTAAATTTACCTTATATTTAATCATTCCATTTTCTTCTCTTATTTTGGGCCAATATATTGTCTGTATAGTATGTAAAAATAATAATAATAAATAAATATAACAACAACAACAACAATAATAATAATAATAATAATAATAATAATAATAATAATAATAATAATAATAATAATAATAATCTGTATCCAATAAAAATTTACTGAAATGGTGTATTAAAAGTTTGCATTCAGTGGCCACTATAATACTTCTTCCTTACTTAAAAGCATTAAAACATGTCCCAATTCTGGCTGGTGACTGTACATTTCTATGCTGATTTGGCCAACCCTGTAACAGCTGCTACAAATTACAATTTTTCACCTGATAAAGAGTAACCTGGATTCTCAAAGCTCCCAAAATTCCACAAAACCATAGTCGGATTTGCCCGTGTCACTGCGAAATATTTTACACAAGCAAGTCCTTTACAGCGAACGGAAAACTGGACTGAAAAAGGCTACAAAACTGATCTGGGAGGCAGAGAGATGTGGATAGATTAGAAGGACAAATGTGTTTTCTGTTTTGTTTTGTTTTTTTTGTTTCCTGAAAAATGTATACATGGGTTATTTTTTGCTTTTGTTCAAGGGTTTTTATTCCATTTACTTATTGAAAAAAGAAAGAATAAATTATCCTTTCCTGGCATAAGAACATACAGTGCCCTCCACGAATACTGGCCACAAATTTATTTTATGTTTATTGTCCCCGGAGGGAGATTTGTCCTCTACATTTGACCCATACTTCGGTGCTGCTGGAGCGACCGTCAGGAGCAGTGGACCCATCTCCATGTCTTGAGCTAAACTCGGGCTGCATCTCATTTCTTTATTTCTCTTTCCTCGCTTCCTTTTCCTTGTGTGGGTAAAATCCCTCAGTCGTCCAGGCTCCACCTAGTGCCTCCGCTCAATTTCATTTCTCTCCAGTGACTAGATTAGGAATCAGAATACACTAGACGGTTTGCAAGAACCTCGGAAGTTGCAGACCGCGCATCGGCCAATCAGTGAAGCGCTGTGAAACCATGACGTCAAACTCGTTGCGCCTGTCTGGGTTCCTTTTGTGATACAGCACCACAGTAAACAAAGGGGTCGAGATGGATGTAAACGAAGACAGACATTCTGTGTTGGCAACGATTTCCAAGTTTGAGCATTTGTACTGTCTGCTTTGTTTGCTGTTGTGCCGGTAATTAGTTGGACACCACTGAGCGTTCTGGCGCATTACATACGTCACAACCAAACAGCAAAGATTGGTAAAATAAAAAAATTTCCTGCCTACCATCAAGTGAACGAATCCTAATGCTGCGAGGTCAGACGGTTTCCACGAAGTGAAACCGGCTGATGAATCAGGCAAGTAGAATCCACCTCAAAGAGAAATTTAATTTGTCAACTGGACAAACATTTATTTAGGTCAAAAACGTTTCACAGTTTATCCAAGCTGCTTCTTCAGTTCTAGTCAGACGCTGGTGAACACTGCCTTATATCTGTCTGCTAACTCCACTGAAACTACTCTGAAACTAACACACCTAACTGTTTCAGGTTCTGTTTGTGAGCTCGGCTTATTCAACTGTACTGGTGTGAGTGGGGGACATATTAGCCTAATCATTGAGGCCCATAATGAAGGTTTTTACACCTCTGGACCTGACCTGGCTACCCCTATTGGCCTCTATTTCTTGCTGTTCCTTCCTTGAACAGAAATGGAGACAACAGACATCATCTGTCTCCATCTACAACTCCATCCTCAAACCTAAAACCAAAAAAACAACAAGGGTAGCCAGGTCAGGCAGATGTGTTAGTTTCAGAGTAGTTTCAGTGTAGTTAGCTCCTCCCTGCAGGCAGATATAAGGAACTGTCCACCAGCATCTGATCAGAACTGAAGAAGCAGCTGAATGATTTCGACCTAATTATATGTTTGTCCGGTTGACAAATTGAATTTCTCCTTTGCCTTCCTTCTCCTTGATTCCATTCCTCGATCCTGCATTTTTCATATGTCAATCAACTGTGTCACATTAAGTGGTGTTCCAAAAAAAAAAAACACGGAATGAAGGTGGAAACATGAGGAAGGCTTCAGGAGCAGACATCAGAGAAAAGAATCAAACTTTATTGATCTCAGTGAGGAGTTTAGATCCTCTCTCCTCGCTGGGTCTCCTCTGTGGGCGGGGCTTCCTCACCCATTTCGAATCGAGGAGAAGGAAGCGAGGAAAAAGAAAGAGAGATGTGGCCCTGGTCAGGAAACTAAAGTGCACGCAGACACAGAGAGAGCACAGAAAGGCCTGGGAATCGAACCCGGAACCTTTTTGCTCAGTGCTTGCTTCTCACTTTCCCATTTGTAAGCCTAAAGTCTCTTGCATTATTCATTCATTCCACTGCACCATTGGCCCCTCTGACCCCCACGAATCACTCCCACACCTCTGCAATACACTACTGGGGTGGGGTGGGTGAAGTGTCTTGCCCCAGGACACAATGTCTGAGCTACTGTCGTCTTGTAAGTTTACACATAAACGCAGAATAATTGAAAGATATATGCACAGAAGCCACTGGAAGAAATGGAAATGTTTGCTTCCTCTGTCTAAATTCTAATCACATGAAGTATAATTTGACCTGTAAAAGAATGTTTTTCTTATTCTGCTCGTTCCAGCAGCTCAAAATCTCCATAAATCATTAACAGGGACCTACAAAATGACACAATATCAGGGAGGCCGATATTAGTGGAGGGCAGTGTAGGTATAGGCAGTGTCATTGACCAAGAAATATACAGAAAATTTTGAATATTTTTGGTGGTTTTCATTGACAGATAAAGTAAGGTAGTCATTAAGATGAAATTTGTCTTCTGCATTTGACCCAACCTTAAATGCAGTAAGCAGGAACCCATCTCCAGATCTAGGCAAACATAGATTTCAATTTCTTATTTATAAACGCCATTTTGAGGACTTGTCACCATTCAAAAAATTTGGTATATTTAGTTTTTTCTTGATAAATTGCTATGGTGACAGTGCTGATTTTTCATTACTTTAAAACCCATGGACAGGTCTATATTTGGATAATTTAGTATGCTTTTAGGTTGGTTAACATTAGTTCTGGCCTACATTTAAGATCAAGTTACGTAAACCACAATGTACTGCCAGCTCAAAAAACCAGAATAAATGAAAAAGGGTTTTCAAATAACTTTCAAATCAAATAAAAAGGTAACACTTTATAATAACTTCACATATTCATTCCTTAATAAAACATGAACAAAGACTTAATTAATGAACACAGCTTATTAAGAATCATTCAGGGCTAGTAACTGTAATGAATACCCGCATCCTGACTCCTAACCCGTTAATGATATAGTACTAAGCCCCTGACGCATTGTAATTAAAGTACTTATATATTATTAAGTAAAGGGCAAATATTATGCATTCTTGTGGCTTTAATTCCATATAAGGAGTTCACATTTTCTAACTTAAAATGTCGACATTTGGGAAAAAACCCCCAAAACAAAACAAAAAAACCCTGCACATCAACAGGAATGAAGAATGGGAAAATAAACAGAAAAACAAATCAAGAACTAAACAGTAAATACTGATGTGAGTGCTATGCATCTGAACACAAGAGATGGTTTACATTAAAAAGTGTTTGGAGTTTGGAGTTTTATCTATGATGCAACAATGTGGGCAATATGCGAACAGAGCATGTATGTGCTCAGACATGACTTTAGGCGAGTGAGTTAATGAAACAAGCATGAATGAACAACACCAGGTATTTTTTGATGAGGGGACAATAATGTAACAAATGTAAGTCAGTTTTGCACATAATATGTGCCCTTTAAGTCTTTGTCCATGCTTTATACAGCTCCACAGCCCCGCCCACTTTCTAAACACCTTTAGATCTGGAAGTAAATTATGTTTAATTTTCCCATAGACTTTTTTAAAAATTCAAATATTGAGAGTACAAAGACATCACGGAGGCTCACCAGCTACCTCAAAAAGCACATTTTAAAAGCAAGATTTAAAAATGAGACCATTTAGACAGTAAAAGGTCTCATTTTTATACAGTTCTTTTCCACATTCAAGGCTCAGAGCGCTTTACATTAAAGAACCACTCACCCCTTCACACACACACTCATACACCAGTATACGCAGACACAAGGTGGGTTAAGTGTCTTGCTCAAGGACGAAACAACAGCATACATCTGTGGAAGCTGGAATGGAGTTGTGTTTTCTCTTGCTCTTTTTACTATTTATTTAGAATGTGCAACCAACCTCCGGATCAATGGACACTTTACACTGTACCATTGGTGATGAGCCCTGAGCAAGCTTTTTTTGGTGAAAAGTCTATGGGAAAAATGAATAAGAAAAGTACCTAGGAAACTACAGGTGGGCGGTCACTTGTGAGCTCCATAAAGGCTAATAAAGATGTAGTTGATAAAGTGTTATACCAATAATTTATAATCACATTTATCTCAAACCACACCAGGTCACATGTGTCTAGATCCGACGCAGTGGGTGCCACATGGACACAGGTTTTCTCAGCGTGGCTAACATCTGGTTCCAGTGGGTGATGCCGATGCCTCCCGCCTCGGGACCGATGATCACGTGACCCAGGTTCTCACCCCGCCCATCATCCGTCGCCTCGGCAACAGTCACCCGTAGCGACAGCTCCTGAAACAGGTGATAGAGAATTATGTAGAGTTCTATGACAGCAGAAATAAGCACTTTAGCTCAACCTCCTGCTGAATTATACACAATACAAGTTAAGAGGCAAATTCTCTTTTATCAAATTTATGGTGTTTTGGGTGTCATAAAATATCCCATTAAATTGCTATTGAAACTATTAAATTTAAGTCAAATTATTGAGTGTGACCATTTTAATCAATTAAAGGTCCTATATTATGTAAAACTGACTCTTTAACTTTAACTTTAAGCCATGTTTGAATGTTGCGACCTCACCAAAAACCTGGAGTTGTGTTTATTTTCATTCACACATGTTTGAGTAACTCTTTATAATTAGTCTGTCTGCATCTCCAAAGCTCAAATCATCTGATCCACCTTGTGATATCATGAAGCGACAGTTTTCAAGTCAGTATTTTACCTTTAGTTCAATAGAGATCAACAGTTCCAGAGTTGAAATGATCCAAATGATTCTGGTGAAAGTTTATGGAGTTTAAAAACACAGTGGAATATGCCTCTTTAAGCATTCAAACTTCAACAGTTCTTTACAGTCCCTGACAAAAGTCATGTCGCTTATCCATTTTGTAGAAACAAAAGCTTATAACCTGACTTTAAATTAATCGATTGGTTTTAGAAATGTCTCATATGAAGCTAAAACCCTCCCAAATTATACTAAAATAAATTTGCTTCACTGAAGAAAGATTGATCATTTAATGAACACAGAAAGGTCAGATTTTGGCAAGACAAAAGTCTTGTGGCCTTGTCATATGATGCACCCAATCCTAGATTACAGCCTCACCTGTGATCAGTTACTGATCAATCAATTAGTGGGTGTGTATAAAAAGAACCCCAGCACACCAGACCTTCACATCAACTGCAACTTGACCTCTGACAACATGCCTAAGATCCACCCTGAGACCAAAGCGTTAATTATCAAGAGGCTGAAGACCAGATCCACTGCTGAGGTGGTGACACCTTCAATGTGTCTCAGCGTCAAGTACAAAGAATAAGAAAAAGATCTGAAATGACTGGAGATGTTTTTGACAAGCCCAGGTCCGGCAGACCCCGCAAGACAACTGCTCAGGAGGACCATTTGTTGATTTGAAAATCCAAGGCCCCTTTTCCACTGCAGCAGACTCCACCAGGCCTGGTCACCTCAAGTCCCTGTGTCAACCACAACAGTTTGTAGAATTCTGTCTCGAAATGGCCTCCATGGTCGAATCAGTGCACAGAAACCAGCACTAAACAAAAGGCAATTAAAAAAACGTGTGGCATTTGCCAAGGCCCACAGCCTGTTAAAAGGATGGACACTGGAAAAGTGGCAGAAGGTGGATTTCTCAGATGAATCCTCGGTTGAATTACATCACAGCTGCCACAAATATTGCAGGAGACCTACTGGAGCCACATGGATCCAAGATTCACCCAGAAAACAGTTAAGTTTGGTGGAGGAAAAATCATGGTCTGGGGTTCCATCCAGTATGGGGCTGTGCGAGACATTTGCAGGGTGGAAGGCAATATCAATAACCTAAAATATCAAGAAGTATTAGCTCCTCTTACATTCCCAACTATAAAAGGGGTCAAATTTTGCAGCAGGATGGTGCTCCATCGCATACTTCTATCTCTACATCAAAGTTTCTCAAGGTGAAGAAGATCAGACATGAACATCATTGAGCATGTCTGGGGTAGAATGAAAGAGGAAGCATGGAAGGCAAAACCAAAGAATCTTGATGAACTCTGGGAGGAATGTAAGATGCTTTCTTTGCTATTCCTGATGACTTCATCAACAAATTGTATGAATCATTGTTGAACCGCATGGATGTGTCCTTCAAGCTCATGGAGTCATACAAGATATTAAATATGGATCTCACAGCACCAGTACTTAATTCACTGACGTTATGCAACATATTTTTGTATTTGAAGTAAATTATTTGTTCAATTTTCTGTAGGTGACAAAACTTTTGTCTTGCCAAAATCTGACCTTTCTGTGTTCATTAAATGATCAATCTTTCTTCAGTGAAGCAAATTAATTTTAGTATATTGAGCATAATTTGGGAGGGTTTTAGCTTTCATATGAGACATTTCTAAAACCAATCGATTAATTTAAAGTCAGGTTATAAGCTTTTGTTTCTACAAAATGGATAAGCGACAAGACTTTTGTCAGGGACTGTATTTAGTCACTGTACAAAACTACTTTTAATTAAACACCCAATACTATACTATATTATTCTCTACTATACTATATTATACTCTACTATATTATACTCTACTATATTATACTATACGATACTATACTATACTATATTATACTACACTATGCTATACAATACAATAAAATACTTTACTATACTATACATACAACACAGGATTACTCAAACATGCATGAAGCAACAGAAATAGGCTGGATCTTTGAATAAGTTAATGTTAAGGAAACATTTTTATAATAGGCCCTCTTTAACCCACTCAGACACAGAGAGAACATTAGGGTGGTCCAAAACATTCTTTTTTAGCTTCTCTAGATTAGAGCCCTGCATTTGGTTTCATATCTGGACAAAATCATTGGGTCTAAATTTTATGCAAATTAATGAATATTTAGAGGCTGCTGATGACACTTGAAAATTGCCTATACTTTTCCTATACTATAACATAGTAAACCAAATAAATGTGTATTTGAATAATTTGTCATTTTCCTCTGGAAACATAAACTGAAACTTGCATAAAAATTACTAAAAGTTGCTCAGAAAGTCCTTAAAGTTCATAAAAAGTGACACTGTGTCTCTGTTGGCGTCTTTGGCACTTAAAGTAGATCCTCTTTCTGTTCTTCATTCTTTGTTCGCCTACAGTTAAAATCTTGAATAAGCTTCACCTCCTTTCAGCAACATCATTGACAACTTTCCTGGAGTGCACAGTGTTTTAGCAGCTTTTTAAAGTCTGCGTCATCAGCCCAGTCTGCTGCAGGGGAAGTGTTCAAAATGTTTTTGGCAGATCAAGAGCTTCGAAGAAACGCATCTGATCTTTTTCCCTTCATAATCTGCTTGATTAAGGGCGTCAGGTCGCTTTGAGAGAACCTCTCAATCTTCCTTTTCCAGCTTCTTCTATTCTTCTGTCACACTGGAGTGGAAAAATGCTTCACTAAAGTACCAAAGATGTCGGCCCAAAGCTGTTAAGGTTCAGATTTCTTCACAACAAAATGTTCATATTGTGACAGCTTCTTAAGGAAAACCAAATCATCAGCTTCAGAACTTCATGCAGAAACTTCATGCAGCTTGAGCAACCTGTAAAACATCTCCTTTTTCTTCCTAAATCATATTTTGAATGCTAAAACCTAATGCATTCTAATCGAGGTTATTTGAAACTTTTTTTTTTTTTACCATGCTTTGATGGTGATGATGATACCCTACTGTGCAGTGCTACAAAAATATAAAATTGAACATGATTAAATATATGAATGCTTCATGTTTAAAGTTGTCCATAGCCTGTCCTCCCCTCAGGCAGTTTGTAAATCTGAAATCTGCTGCTGTTCCAAACACCAGAGCAGCACAGGAGTGGAAATGTAATGAGAGAAATGTAACACCACGTTTGCCTTGTTATGTGTTTTCAAAAATATTTCATTGTATATCTGTATATATCTATGTCCTCTTATATTGCGTCTAGTTTTAGGGTGACATAGTAGATGAAAAATGGTTGTTTAGGCTAATCCTGGTGTGACCCAACATGTGTATGTGTGTGTTTGGCAGTAGTGCGCCACCTGCAGGACAAGGGAGGGCACAGAGAAGATCATGGCTTCGTTAAAAATGGGGTTAGTGTCGTCTCTCTTCGTTGACGTTTTCTTTTTGCTGATTTTCCTGCCGTCCTGAAGCAGATACACTTTGACAAACGGATCTGAAAAGGACAAATACAAATGAATTCAATCTAACCTTAGAATTTGAACAAAAGACTAAATCAGGCCAACAACCAACCTTGGACAGATTTTTTTTCTTTTCATAGTTTTGATTTTCTTTTTATAGTCTGTCTGGTCTCTCAAAGTTGTAAAAAGCACTTATAAAGTCATCAAGGAATAGGTTGCAAACATTTAATGTAACTTCTCTGGTGGTGAGTCTGCAACTGTTTGTCTCCAAAGAGAATTCATCTAATTTACAAAAGTTTGAATTACATTAAAAACATCACAAACATATATCCTGTCAGAGAATAGGCCCAACTCTCTCAGTCTGACCTGTAACCTGAGATTGTTTAATGCCATACTGTGGAACATTCCAGGCAATGCAGTAACATCCTTATGGAGACAAGCCTTTGGCAGATCCTCAACCAGAAAAGCGACATAATGCAGCTTTAAATCTAACGTTAACATGAGAGTTCGTAGCCAGAGCTGAAGCACATACCTGCTGTGTTTTTGCTGTTGGTCCAGACGAGGTTTTTGCACTTGGCGACGACCACAGTGAGGCGCTCTGCTGTCGGGAGGTAACTCAGAGAGAGCAGAATCTCCCCCACTGCATCTACAGCCTGAGGAGAGGGAGAAGAGGAGAGAGGAGGCAAAAGAGAGATGGGGAGAGGGAGGAGAGGGAGGAGAGAGGGGGTGCAGGGAGGAGAGGGGAGAGGGGAGAGAGGGGGGGCAGGGAGGAGAGGGAAGAGAGGTAGGAGAAGGGGAGAAGGGAAAGAGGGAGGAGAGAAGGGGGACAGGGAGGAGAGGGGGGACAGAGAGGGGGGAGAGGGAGAAGAGGGAGAGAGGTGGAGGACATGATTAAAGGCCTGGCCATACTGTACGTGTATTTCGCCCTATGCAAGCATGTAACTTTTAAACGTGTACTTTTTGAATGCTTAAAAAGTGAATGAGGAAGGTCAAAGTGCACGTGCTGGACGCACGCATGGAGCAGCACGTCCTGTATTTGTACATTTCAGAAACTAGGATCCAACCTGTTGCAGATTTTACTCTCACGTAGGATGAAATACACATGCAGTGTGGACAGGCCCTAAACCAGACCAGGGCCACATACAGCCCTTTGTATGACTCTGACCAGCCTGTTTAAGATCATTTGTAAATACAAAATAAGCGTATTTTTTTTATTTTACCTCAAGCATGGACTAAAGCTGCATTGGTTTTATTTCAGAGGTGTTTTTTTAATTCATTGCTTAGTCATGACCAGCTCATCAAAACAAATATATTTACTGTTTTACTTATTTTAATTTTTATTTAATAAAGAAATACAATTAATATTATGCAAAACTGAGTTAAGCATTTTGGCCTCCACAATATTTTCTGTTTCTCATGTGGCCCCATGATAGAAAAATAATTATCCACCCTTGCCCTAAACATTGATGCTTGTAGTGTGGCCAGGTCCAAAGAGATGGTTACCTAGAGTACAATTTTTTTGTGTTCTAGAATTGTTATGGTTTACTTTGCAAGACTGACTTGTACTTACCCAAATCCACCACCAGATGGCCACAAAAACCACAATAAAGGGACCGTGCAGAACAAAATTGTGAACCAAGACTAAGCCAGGACAAAAACAAGGACTAGACCAGATCTAAACCAGGACTAAACCCAGATGATAACCAGGTTATGATAAACCAGTTCTAAACTAGAACCAAACCAGTTCTAGAGTACGACTAAGCTGGGTCTTATTTTGATTATGTCCTGTCCCAAATCTAAACTTGGTCTTAACTAGGAATTATACCAAAAACAGGACTAAACCAGGACTAAACCAGGTCTAAACTGGTTCTAAACCAGGATTAAACAAAGTCTAAACCAGGACTAAACTAGTACTAGGCCAGGACTAAACCAGGTCTAAACTGGTACTAAACCAGGATTCAACAAGGCCTAAATCAGGACTAAACTAGTACTAGGCCAGGACTAAACCAGGTCTAACCTAGAACTAAACCAGGACTAAACCAGGACTAAACCAGGACTAAACCAGGACTAAACCAGGTCTAAAGCAGGTCTAAAGTAGGATTACACCAGGTCTAAACCAGATCCAAACCAGGTGTAAAGCAGGACGCACCTTGTTGACATCCTGCAGGTAGAGCCATGCGTTGAATGGGCGTATGGTAAGGTCCAGGTCGGACAGTTTGAGCTCGGCCACTCCAGCACTGATGTTCCTCTCATCTGCATCGATCCCAAACGCTGCAAACCGCAGACTGAACTCCTCCAGCGTGGACAGCTCCAGAGGCACCGAGAAACGCTCATCGAAAATCACTGTGAACGCATTCGTCTGAACCTACAACACAAGAACAAGACCCTGGGAATTACGGGAGCGCTCAGACCACTTCACTGGGACTAAAGTGGGACTACGGAAATAATCTTGGACGACAACAGAACTAAACCAGGACTAGACAAAGACTGAACCAAGTCTACTTCAGGCTATTTTCTTTACTGCTCGAACATCACTTGAAAAACATTCCTTATTGTGAACTGATACTAAACTAGATCTAAACTAAGACTAAACCAGGTCTAAAATAGGTCTATACTAGGTCTAAAATTCTGCGTTCTGGGATGTTGCAGATTTGCAGCATTGGTCCGGTGTGGTAAATTAACGCTGAGGACTGAAAATGATATGAACGCTAACTTTATGTGTATACCACTTTTCATAACAATGAAAACATAAAGCACAGTGTAACAGCTTTACAGTGGCAGAACAACATCACTTTTTCGTGTGGTGCTCCAAGAAACAATATTTATCATTTGTAAACAACAAAAGTACTTCGCACTTCTGGCAGGCCGTTTGTGTGTAGCCATTCTTGCACAGTCTGCATCGTCCACGTTGATCAGCATGGATGGGAAAAAAGGCTCCTGAGTAAAAAAAGCTCATAAAAGGTGGATTTGGAGTAAGTAGGTAATTGGAATTTAGCTGTTGCAAATCTGCAACGCCTGCCTGGAGAGGGTCTAAACAAGGTCTAAACCAGGTCTCTTCCACATCTATACCAGGTCTAAAACTAGGTCTAAACCAAGTCTAAACCAGGTCTAAACTAAGTCTAAACTAGGTCTAAACCAGGTCTAACCCACATGCACTAGGTCTAAACCAGGCCTGGTCTTGTCTAGGTCTCTACTCGGTCTATACTAGGTCTGTACTAGGTCTAAACCAGGATTTTACTACATCTATACAAGATCTAAAACTAGGTCTAAACTAGGCCTAAACTAGGTGTACAAGGTCTAAATCAGGTCTAAACCAGGTCTCTTCTACATCTATACCAGGTCTAAACCAGATGTACTAGGTCTAAACCAGACCTGGTCTTGTCTAGGTCTCTACTCGGTCTATACTCGGTCTGTACTAGGTCTAAACCAGGATCTTACTATGTCTATACCAGGTCTAAAACTAGGTTTAAACTAGGTCTAAACCAGGCCTAAATTAGCTCTAAACTAGGTGTCTACTCAGTCTAAACCAGGATAAAGCATTTCTACACTCCTGTGAGCTATTGTGAACTGATACTGAACTAGATCTAAACTAGGACTAAACCAGGTCTAAACTAGATCTATTCCAGATTTATACTAGGTCTAAGCCAGGTTTCAATTAGGTCTTAACTAGGTCTAAACCAGGTCTAAACCAGGTGTAGTAGGTCTAAAACCAGGCCTGGTCTAAACTAGGTCTCTACTCGGTCTATACTAGGTCTAAAACTAGCTCTAAACCAGGTCTAAACTAGCTCTAAACCAGGTCTAAACCAGGTCTAAACCAGGTCTAAACTCCAGTGAGCTATTCCAAAAATAAATCTTGTTGACATTGTTTTTGTTACACAGTTTTCACACATTTTTTCCTCCAACTATGAGTCAGAGTTTGGTTGAAAATCTGTGAGAGCTGCAGAGTTACTCACAGTGTAAAAATAAGCAGAGTGACGTTGGTAGAACATATAGAAGGTTTAAAGTACATATAAAGGATTGGAAAGATAGACAAATATCTGAATAACACACAATACACTGAAAAATCTTATAAGTAGACCTTACTTGAAAAAATCTAGGAAACTGATTGCCTTGAAATATCTGACTAAAGTGGAGTGGGAATCTAAAGCTGAGCTTGAGTGTAGTGTTCAGTAAATTCCTCTTTCATCTAACTAGGCACAGCAAGTAAAGTGAACTTTAGTTTTCATTCATAGAATCATGTTGTGAAGCTGTGTCAACGAATCAATCAGTTCCTCAAATCTGAAATATGTAATAACCTTTACTTTAAGAGGAATTTGGTAAAAGCATGGAAACTGACTGACTTGAATTAAGCAAGTAAATGTTAATTCTATACACCTGTTAGAGTCAAAACAGGTTCTATTCTTCAGTAATGACATTTAGAACTGCATCAGGTACAAGGATTTAAATATTTATTAGTCTTTGAAAAAACATAGCAAAACTTTTGTTCAGCTTCAATTCAAACACATCGTAACATGTGTAACAATAAAATAACAAGCCCAATCAGAGAGATCAACCTGGTCTCCATGAGGCATCAGTGGGTCAGTTCATCACCACAGAAACAGTTTATGAGGAGTCCAGCCCATATGACATAATCATTATATCCACAATGCAATGTGTGTATGTGTACAGGCCCATGAACATTTGTGTGATGTTGGTCACACATGAGAATATCTGTGTTTACTAGTGTGTAACCAAAATGTCATTTTTCATGAGTTGTGTGTATGTTAGTTGTGTGACTGTAGATCAGTGTGTTGTGTTTCACCAGAAAAACATGAAATGCAAATTATTTTTGTTCCAATTAGAATTTTAACGGCTAAACTGAAAGAGAAAGGAACTGTTATAATTAATTATTATCTGGAAAAACTATTCATATTTGACTATACAATTGCATAGAATTATAAATAGATAATCATTTTCCTGAGATTTTGAGACACTCCTGTTGCTCTAGCTCCATCCTTCACAGAGTTATGACCAAAAACACATATTTGACCTTGGTTACCTTGACCTTCAAGTGACCTTGACCGGTTTCAACCTGTAACATCCAGTGTACCCTGGTTATGTGTGTGCCAACTTGTATGATGATTGGGTGAATATTTTAGTATTTAGCAGATGGTTCAGAAATGGCAGAAACTGCCTATCCTTTATAATGCAGTGACCTTTCAATTGACCCGTGTGACCTCAAATGACCTCGGATCGTCACCAAACTCTTTTTGCGGCATCGGGTAAGGGGGCTTAACCACATACCAAATTTGGTGACAATCAGTCCATAAATGGTGGAATTATCGCTGGTGGACAGACACACACACACACAGACACAGGGTGGATACAAAACCTGGTCAATAAAAAACAGGTAATAAAGCTCGGCCATTCCATGTCAACTCAACCAAAGCCCCCACACTTAGGGCTCAAAAAATGCTGGAAGAAACAAAACAAATGTACAGGTGTAATCTAGAAAAGAGTAAATGAACAGAGTAAGGATATAGAGATGATATAGAGGTAAGAGGTAGAGGATATAGAGATGATACAGACAGGAGACATGTTCAGTAGAGCCAAGTGACAGTGGTACAGGAGGAACAGGAGCAGCAGATACAAGACTAGAACATTTTAATATATAAGTGTTACCGTATAGTATAAGTTGCAGGAAACACCCAAACCATGAAAAAAACGTGTAGTCCAAAAAATACGGTAATTTCTTTGCCCTTCATTTCATTAACAAATACAAATGGAGTGATTCGTGCGTGTTTGAGTCATCTTTAATCACTTATTTTCAAGACTCCATATTGCGGATCAACCCGTTTTCATCACCACCGGTAGACGCCCACTGCTCTGCGCTTACTTCGCTCTTCAGTTTTATTTTTGGTACAAATGACAAAAGGATCCACTGCTGCAGCTATCCACAGGAGAGACCGACTCTTTGTTGTGAACACGGTTATGGAGACGTCTCCTCCCACTGGGTCCTGCCGTTTTCTAACAAGCACAATAGGTCTTCTCTAAACGTGCAGTAAAAGTACTACTTAGGATGATTTGGGTCCATTAACAAGGAGTTCAGAGGGCCAAGAAACAAGTGGTCCAAGAGCAGGATTTGATCGCCTGGACACCCCTGGACTGTAGGTGGTGACTCTGGCTGTGCTCATAGATAGTAAGTGGACATATCCGTGGGCAGTTTGGCCTTCTGAGGTCTTTAGCTCCAGCAGAGACAGAGAGAGAGAAAGAGAGTGGCCGGAGTGGACACCGAGCCGAGTAAAAATGCCTTTACACTGAGGTTTCCAGGCAACAAGCATGAGCGGGGGCTAATAATAGAGTTCAATCTACTCTTAATACATTATAGAACAGCTAATACACCAAGAGTACTATCAATACCTGTTAGTACATGCTTTAAAGGGCCCATCTCATGCAAAATAACTCTTTTCACTTTGTATCTTCTGCACATAAACAAGCACAATTTGGCTTTTGGAACATCCATTTCAAATAGTTATGAAATCTTACTGACCAGGACCTATGAAAGGCCGACTATTGCTCATAGCACACGCTCCACCCTCCAAACGTGACGTAGGGTCTGAGTGAGCCGCCCTTCCTCCGCGCGCTCCTCCGCTTCGGAGGGCGGGGGACAGGGGCGACGGGGGCGGGTGTGAAGTGCTTCGGGTGTGAAGCACTTTCTGCTACATCAAACACGTTATAGGTAGGGGTGTGCAAAAAAATCGGAATATCGATATATCGTATCGTTTAATGTAATGATACAGTATTGATATCATGGGCTGCTGTATCGATATATCACCAAGAGTATTTTTAGGTGTGTTTTACTAAATTATTTTGTTACAGTGCTACAGTTTTGTTGTTTGTTCAGAGGAAGGAAACTCATTTATACAACACATTTGACATTTTTACTGTTTTGAGGATTAAAATGTTTGTGTTTCATATGAAATTTGGACAAGAAGTGGTTTAACAAAGACTTTTAGTATCACAGCCATGATTTAGCCTTTATTTTTTATTGAGTCGTATCAAATCGATCTGAAATATGTCATATCGAATCGAAAGTGCACTTTATCGAGGTATGTATCGTATCGGCAACTTCTCAATGATACCCAGCCCTAGTCATAGGTGTAGCTGCCGCGTCATCGTTGTAGCAGCTTTAGTTTGTTGTCACGTAGGAGGGTGGCAGATGAAATTGAGCGGAGGCACTAGGTGGTGCCAGCCTGGATACAGGTGATGTGCCCCCTCCAGAAAGTTACACAGTGTACCATTAAAGCAGACATATTGTGCTTGTGTCAGCGCTATACTTCTAATGACACCCATGGATCATTACATTATAATGTGCACATTTTAAAT